TAAAGACGTTTACATTACATAAAAACTGCTGCATAAATATGTGACTCTTTGTGTGTACGAGAGTAAGTCTCTGGTGTCCTCTCCGACTCAGCGAAGTGCGCTGTGTGTTTCTGGGAAAGCCCTCGCTCCAGAGGAATGTGTGACGTGTTTAACTCCAGCTGCTTCTGGTTTAGACCCAGTTCAGTCGGGACTTTGGCAGGATATGGCAGGACTATGGCAGGGCTTTGGGGCTGGCGCAGCGCCCGGCCCTCAGCTGAGCGCACACAGAGTCCAGGAGTAATGTGATGTTTTGTTCCTGGACTCTGCTGTGGTCTGAAGGATTGTGTCATGTTTGCATTTGTCCTGCTCTGTTGGAGTCTGAGCGCACAGGTGCAAGCTGTCCACTGTCTGTGACTGCTGGACTCATGGGAAACACAGAGCTCGTCGTCAAATATACTTTTAATGAAGACGCTTTTGTCTGCTTTAAGTTTATAATCTTTGAAACATGTGGGGCACTTTTTATGGTAAAATCTCAATGTTGAATTAAAATCATATGGTAGAATGGACATAATGTAAAAAAAATAATTGTATGAATAATCTGCACTGTTCAAAAAGGGCCACGATGGTGATCTATTAGCTTCTGTGAGAATTACAACCCCCAACGTAAGATATTTACATGTGAGAGTGTGTAATGTATTGTCTTTCAATGTAATGTTAGACAATGCATTCATTTAAAGGGGCTCAGCTGGTAGCGCATTGGCCTTTGGGCTGAAGGTCGTGGGTTCGAGCCCACCATGCGACCTACTTCACGACTCCCATTAATGTCTGCTGTTGTTATGTCCTTGGGCAAGACACTTAACCCCACTTTGCCTGAAGCCCCCACTGAAAGACCAAGGCAGCTCAGACTAGAGCAGCCATCCCCCTGCAGGAGGATCAGTAAGGGGCTAGTGCTATCAGTGACGTGCGGTCAGATGAGGCAGGTGAGGCCTGGCCTCACCTACAATCACGGGAAGAAAAAAGAATAAAATGGAAATAATAAGTAATTTATGTTTTTGTATTATTTTCATGTAACTTTGCCTTATTTCATTAATTTTTACCTTGAAATCGCATATTTTTGTCATATTTTCTCATATTTGACAGAGCGGTGCGCTGTGAGGCTTTTCACTCTGTTTTTCGCGGTTTACAAAGTTCAAACATATTTCCTTTACAATCTACATGTCCACAGTTGAGAGGATGGGTCATAAATTGTGTTTTTGATACAAATATGGGTCTTAATCGCGCTCAAACCGCGGCTTGTAATGTCACCAAATGAGGCCAGCCTCAGGGTAGGGGGCGCATGTGAGCCCAGAATTCGGTTGCATCCAATTTCATTTGAAAGCTCCTTTCTTGTTTTTCCTCTGCTAAGGGCAGCTACAGGTTTGGTTAAAATACATGTAACACATTGTAAGATTATTTAAAATTCACTTATGGTAATTTTATGCTTCCAATGATGATAGGAATTATAAGGAAGAGGGGTGAAGGCTAAGAAGGTTGATATTAGAAATTGGATGCGCCTGAGACTCGACTGCAGCTAGCAAAACATGAGAGGAGTTTATAGAGGAGACACCCGTTTTGTTTTACTTTTTAAAACACATTGGACTTATTTCTAAATGGAGGATTACATATCTATGCTCAAACTATTATCTGGACTTAAACATGCAACTGGTCTGAACTGAAGTGGTCTGTGTAGGTCATGTTTACAGTGAGGTAAGGACCATAACACACTGTTAAATGTGCTTTTTACAAACTTTTGTGTTTGGGATGAGCAAGCAATGCGGACATGAAACAAATTCTGCTGTAGCCAAACTAATTGTGAATAAGCCACTGTAGGTCCTATTGATTTATATGATATATGTGTATCTGATTGGGGTGAAGTTAGTGCCTCACCAATCACCAACCTCACCGCACGTCACTGGGTGCTATGTAAATTGGGTGCAGATCTGATTGCCACCCAATTGTAATAAAATATCTAACTCATTCCTGACTCTGAAACCGTGTGGTTAAATTTTCGACAGAAAAGTAAAAAAGAGGGGACCACCCTCAATCAGTTCTCAGCCAATCAGTCAAATAGTAACTCCTACAAAAGATAACGTTTTGTCAGACTCTTTCTATTGGGACAAACATAATATTTATGATAGAAAAAAGTTAGATACCCCAGCTTTAACCATAGGCCCTCTTCTTTCTCAGCAGCAACAATAATGTTATTTGAGTTTCTTTGTTAACTTCATATGTCTTGTATGTATTAATCACAATAAAGTACTCACGCAGCAGCATCAGGTCTGAAACTGGAGCTGATATAATCAGGGGTGCACATCACTTTTTCAGTGAGATGGTGTGAGGAGATGGTGTTTGTACTCAAACACCATCTCCTCACATCCAAATTGTCGGCCGCAGTTGCAGCAAGTGGCCCCCTGGCATTGCACCACGCCCCTCTACGAGAGCGCCCCACTATTTGAGAAGGACTGGTCTATGTGAAGTACACAAAGGCACTTACTAAAACAAGTGATAGTACACATTTCTAATTTTTGTCACGCATGCGTACCTGCGTACCAGTTATGTGCACCCCTGGATATAACGCTGCCAAACCAATGGAAGTAAATTATGATGCATTATGCCCCGCACTGCAGCCCTCACCTGTGGAATTGTTTCTATAGCATTCTGTCATGTAGTTTATCGCTCTTGTTTTAGTGTGATCATTGTCAGAAATGTGAGGCCTGGGACTATTGATCTGAAATCAAGCGGTGCGTCATATGCATATGTCTTTGAACTCTATAGTCTATCATATATCATTATCAATATATAGAAATGATACATACACAAAGATACATCTTCTTTTTTTTTATCGTTATTTAAAAATTTTACTTTTTAATGTAATGTTTTAGTATCCCCAGTATCCCCAGTGTTTCTTCTGAAGGAGCCCTCTGCACTGGGAGCAGTGGTCGGCTGGTGGAGGTCTGGAGCCTCGGCTTCGTGTCTCCTCTGGGTCATGTGTCGTCCCCTGTGGCTGGAGGCAACTCTCTGCTCCTGGTGCAGACGGCTCCTTGGATGGTGCTTCATCAGCTGGTTACACTGGCACCCAGCCCTATACCTTTTCAGGGATCTACCATTTTTTAAATCTGATTTGACTGTATAGCTGTGTGTACGTGTGTGTTTGTCTGTGTTTGTTCATCCATCCATCCATTTTCTTCCGCTTTATCCGTTGCCGGGTCGCGGGGGCAGCAGTCTAAGCAGAGACGCCCAGACTTCCCTATCCACACACACTTCCTCCAGCTCGTCCGGGGGGACCCCAAGGCGTTCCCAGGCCAGCTGAGAGACATAGTCCCTCCAGCGTGTCCTAGGTCTTCCGCGGGGCCTCCTCCCAGTGGGACGTGCCCGGAACACCTCCCCAGGGAGGCGTCCCCAGGGAGGCGTCTGTGTTTGTATACTTACTAATATATGTGGTTTGGGGTGGATCTGATGGCATGTGGGATTGTTTTTAACTATAATGTTTTTTTTTAGAAAAGGCACTTTATAAATACAATTTGATTGATTGATTGCAGAAAGGACAGGCCGGCGCCACTCCTGATTGGTAACTCGGCATACATTTGACTCCACATTCCCGCTCAGCCCGTTCGAGCTTGTTGTAATCAGTCCACTCTTAGTATACAGTCTATGGGTCAAACACATCATGTGGTGGGGCAGGAGGAATGAGTTTGTGTGGATTAAATACGGCTCTAGGTACTGTATGTCTACAATAATAACATGTGCTCCATTGACCAATTAATTAACAAGACGTACATCTTTAAAGTGATTCATACTGTACGTTTTAACTCTGCCTTTAGTCCAGCCTGAATCAGACTGTGGTCCAGACTGTGGTCTTGTATTAAATGTGCTGTGAACCTGTTCACGGTCTGGCTGAGTAGAGGCATAGGCTTGGGTGGGTGTTGGTTTGGTCTTGCTTGACTGCTGATTTAGACCTGTTGTAATCCTGGTTTCGTACTATAGCTGTTCCTGTTACAGTTCAAGCCGAGTCAAAGGTGCATATAATAACCAAAAAATGTAATTAAATGTTATCCTTTTTCTGCAGAAAGAAAGGGAAATAAGTATTTGGGGAAACTTCAGGTGAAAATAACTGATTGCAATGTGATACAACCAAACAGTTTTGAGAGTGAACCTGTGACATTTCTAATATCACTAAACTATCTCTTGGAAGCTTAACCAACACATTTACAAAATTAAACTAAACTATTCTTTAAAACACTAGCAAAGTAAATGTAATTGAGTACTACAGCACCTCTAGACCGGGTGTATTCCAGGTTTGGTCCTGATCTAGTCTCTCAGCCTTTGGGAGCGGTTTGTTGCAGAGGAAACATTTGGACCGCAGTGTGGTCTGTGGTGGAGGACGCCGGCTGCAGACGACTCTCGTTTGGAAACAGAAGCACAAACACAGAGCCGGAGCCAAAGTCCTGGAGCAGAGGCTGAAAAAGAGCATTCTACTGTTCATTCATTAGTGTTTCCATCTGAGGCTGCTGCGGGTTTACAGTCCACCAACTTGTCCGGATCTGAATCTGACTAATACACTCGCCTTAAGGATGGGTCAAACTTCGAAGGTAGACTGTGTGGCCACTTGATAGCCAGCAAGGGTTTTGTTTATTTTATGTCTTATATATCATCACCAATTACATCACAATTTAAATATAAATTCTGGAGTTAGAGTGCATATCACTCCTTTATTTTCAAATCTGAGAATTCTGCTGAGTAGAGTAAAGTGGATGAGAAATGTGTCAATGTCCCAATATTTAGTATAATTGTATATGTCGGGGCTGGTGCTGAGTGTACTGGGTGCAGCTCTGACTGCCACCCCCCCGACCCAGAAATGGATTAAGGGGAAGAAGATGGATGGATGGATGGATGGATGGATGGATTGTATATGTCGTACATATACATATCTGTCCAGTAAAATATATGTGGCTTTGTTTGCATTTGTCTTCCCTGTCTTGTAGGATGCGCGGGTGGGAACAGTTCACGGACATTGGGCTGCTGCTGTTTTGTTCCCTGGCTTTGGCCGTGTGTGTGGGTAATCTGTCCAGCAGAGGGCTCCAGGTATTACACACACTGCAAACTAAATCAGAGTTCTCTAATTCAACTAAAACCTTTGCATGACTAGTTTACTCATCATCATTTTGTTTTGAATTATTGAAAACTTTCTTTAACTTCAACTTTCATTTGAAAACATCCCTTGATGAGCAAAGGGACTGCTTTTTGAGAAAGCAGTGACAAAACACTTTGTTTAATCATTTAGTCTGCAGGAGTAGGCTGTAAGAACTTAATGTCTTCTGTTCCTCTTTGTAACATTGTAACATTAGGCCTGTTACTAAAAGGATTAAAGGCTACCTTTGCCTCATTCTTTACAAATTAAAAGAAAAGATCATAGCTGAGGCTGGTGTAAATATTGCACCATCAATCCATTCAAAGTCATGTTGTCCCGGAGCTCAGCTTAAAGAGGAGGCTGTCTGTAGAGGAAGTCCGTCAGACTAAACTGCACCTGTGATGTGATGGACTGCAGTTGACTTTGTGCTCCTCACTCCTCAGTGTTCGTGCTCATCGGAGCAGCAGTAAGAGCCATGGCATGTTTTTGGGTGATCCTCTGCAGCTGTTCTGCCTCTCGCCTTTTCACTGTCTGTCACTTCAATGCGGCTGTGTGAACAGCAGGAATGAGATGATCAAGCCATTAAAGACAATCACTCTAGAGTTTAACTCAAACCTTTAAAACATTAAACCCAATCTGACCTCGATTCATCATAGTTACATGACCAGCACCATTTTTTATAATGTTTTATTATCCCCGTAGGAAAATTTGTCCTGTGAATTTGACCCTTCCTTCATTGCCGCTAGGATCTTGTACAAGAGCAGGGGAGACAAGCAGCACTTTCAAAGGGAATTAAGAAAAGCTTTGTGCTTTTCTTTATTATAGTGCCATTAAATCCTCAAACAAGTTTAAGTTTATATTGCTCTTGGAGCTAAAGGGCAACCTGTCAGGAGCAGTGGTCGCTATAGTGCACTGCAGACATTTCCTCATGTTGATTCAATTATCAACTGTTACATGTTTTTTGTTAAAAAGTGTTTGCTGATCATACATAAAGTTATCACTATTATAGAGGGATTCTTTGTTGTGTTTTTTCTTGTTCCTCGGATGTTCTTTCTTTGCAGGAGGATGCAGTTGCATCAAACAGCCTGGAGGAGGCGCTGGAGGTGACCACGTACTGGTGGGGAGAGTGGGCCAAGTGGACCGCTTGCACCCGCACGTGTGGAGGGGGCGTCATGAGTCAGGAGCGACACTGCCTAAAGCAGAGGTCTGCTGTTCATTAAGAAGCGCCCAGACTTATTCACACTGATTCATTCAAACGTCTTATTTCCAAAGAAAGAAAGTGGCGAATGGAAAAGACAACATGACTTGCAGTGGGATGTCCAAGAGGTACCACCTGTGCAACACAAGAGTGAGTGTTTTCCTGCTGCTCGTTACGGTGATGAAAGAACAGAAATCAATAGAGCAAATATATTATATATATATGCGGTCTTATATATTTCCTATATTTCCTATATGGAAATGGATACACTAATGAGCATATCATAGAATATTGCTACCGTACAGCAGTATAGTTATTGTCAGTTTCCAAGCTTGCTCAAACAATTCACTGTAAGCTTCCTACCAAATGCATACATTTCCAAGAGTCTTCAAACTTCCTGCTTGTTCTAATATAGTCTAATTAACGAGTTTTAGTGGTGTTAGAACAGGGACTCTCAAATAAAGTTGGACAGAAAGCTTGCCTTCCCTCAAACCCTAACAAAATTAACTCTTCCTAATTCTAAACTAAATTATAACCTGAGAAAGAAAGAAATAGAAAGAGAATTGGAATATTTACCTAGAAGGGAAAGTTCCTAGTTCTTTCAGCATGAATGAATATTGCACCAGAATCCAAAACCGTTTGGGAAGCGGTGGTATATGCTGCCATCAGAGATAGGTTTATTTGTATGAAATGTGAATGTGTGGTTCCAATCTGATGTTGTTTCCCTTGTGCCTTGTTCCGGACAGCAGCCGAAGTAGTATGGTCAGCAAGCATATCCGGGCGGGGCCTGTCTAAATAAATGAGAGTTCAGGATTTATTAGTTCAGGTTTAGAGACATTGAACAAGCTGCTGATGTTCCAGGCCTGTCCTGCAGCGAGCAGAAGCTTCAGAGAGGAGCAGTGTGAATCCTTCAACTCTCAACTCTACAGCGGGAGGAGCTACCATTGGAAACCGCTCTACCCAGGTACAAGTCCAGTTAAAAACATGAGAACATAAAAGTAACTGACTCATAACATCCATGTGGAAAGTCTTACATTTTTGTTCTTTTAAAGGATAGGTTCTGTTCAAATATCGCATAGAGATAAATGGACATTGATTTTGTGCTGAGGACATTATATACCACAGTATTATATATATGAAAAATTAATGAATGATTCTTTGGATTTAACAAAGTCAAAATGTTGAGTTTTGTATAGTTATACACATAATACAATATATATAAATGTACACCTGGAAAACTGGATACTGGCAAGACAGTATATGAAGAAAAAAATTACATTCTTTACACAAAGATAAGAGAACCTTTGTATGCCCCAGAGTTGTAAATTTCACAACAAGAAATTATTGTTTAGGCCTACAAAAACACACCATTTTCTCTCCTAACAAGAGAATCTCCTTCGTTAATTTCAGATGACTATGTGCACATCTCATCTAACCCCTGCGACCTCCACTGCACCACGATCGATGGCCAGAGGCAGCTCATGGTGCCGGCACGAGATGGGACATCCTGCAAGTACAGCAGCTACAGGGGCGTGTGTGTGAGCGGCCAGTGCGAGGCGAGTTTAGGTTCACGGTTACTTTATATCCTCCAAAATATAGATACCTAGTATCCATCCATCCATCCACCTATCTTCTTCTCCTTAATCCATTTCTGGGTCAGGGGGTTGGCAGTCAGAGCTGCACCCAATTCACAGAGCACCAGATACTGTACCTAGTATTGATTACTTCATATTCCACCGCTACTGTGGGTCTCTCCTACCTTCATTTCTATAGGTTTGGTAAAGTTGATAATCAAACCCAGATTTTTCTGCATCTGTGATACCAAAACCTCCACATATTGTTAGCAGAGGTGTCTGATGAGATGCCTGTGTTCTCACTGCAGCCGATTGGGTGTGATGGAGTTCTTTTCTCCTCTCACACTCTGGACAAGTGTGGAGTGTGTCAGGGAGACGGCAGCAGCTGCAGCAGAGTCACTGGTAACTACAGGAGAGGAGCCACAACACTGGGTAAGAACTGAGAATGACCTGTTGGGATTTACGTTTGTGTATATTCAAATGGGACACGGATTACTGCAGGTGCTGCACTTACATTCCTAGTTTAGAAGTTTAGTCAACCTAAACTTCAAAAATATGTTTAAATGAAAAGCAATGAGAATAATTTTCAATGAAGCAGAACCACAGATCTAAAACTGTTCTTGAGGTAAATGACCTTTCAAGCTTGATACAGGTCATTTTTACTATAATGCATGGACAGACAGATTTTGACCAATTGTGTCAAAAGGATGATTCGAAAATCAGAAATGTATGTGTGTTGTGCTGAACCAATGCTTGGCAAGAACTGAGACTAAACTGTGTTCTACAGGTTACTCTTTCATCACTCAGATCCCTGAAGGATCCTGGGACATCCAAATCATTGAGAGGAAGAAGTCAGCTGATGTCCTGGGTCAGTGTTCCTGAGCCTTCAAATGTTACACACGTTTTGGTGGCGGGTCCATCACCAGCTTGTTTCATTAAAAAGACCTTAAACAGTATAATGCCATAGATTTTGTTTCCATATTTACATTTTTGATTAATTCAGTTGTCAGTAGTTTGATAAATGATGTGCTAACTTTGCGCTATAATGTGACAGCCTCAAACATCATGAAAAACATCCCCAGAAAATAAAACAGGTAATGTTACATATTCACGACTGGGTCTTGACTGTTAGCAACAGACTAGACAGGACATGTTTGACAACATTTCCTGATGTTTGACAACTTCAGGAATCTTTGAAAATGGGATGTAACAAAATGAGAGATGTTTTCATTTTGGAGGTGTTCCGGATTAGATTGAGAATCTTATTGCCAGTATTCGATGAGTATTTTACACTGTACAGAAATATGTGTAAATGATTCTGAATAAAATTTTATTTGATCCACAGCGGTGACCGATCAGGCCGGAAATTTCTTCTTTAACGGGGCCTACAGAGTGGACAGCCCTCAAAACTTCCACGCCGCAGGAACTGTGTTCAAGTACCGGCGTCCCATGGATGTGTATGAGACGGGCATTGAGTACATTGTGGCTAAAGGCCCCGTAGACCAGGCTGTCAACATTCTGGTAAGTCTGGTTGAAGATCTACTATTACCACTACTGCAAAGACAGAGAGACAACCTGTAAATTATGTTGTTTCATGTCCAAGTATGCGAAAAAAATGTAGTTATCTCCATGCAATTAAACTACTCTCTTAAAGCTTGCAAGTGTGTGCAAAGTATCTATCTATCTATATGTGTGTGTGCTATACTCTTCTGACGTATCGTCTCTGTAGGTGTGGAATCAGAATGGTCGCACACCTTACATCACCTATGAGTACACAGTGCTGAGAGATGCGCTCCCCCCAGTGCCTCCTCCACCTCTCTACACCGGAGCAGATGGAGCAGACACATCTATGGAGGAGGGAGTTCTACACAACACCACACACCTTCACAAGGGGGTGCTGCAACCCACAGGAGCACAGGAGACTGCCGAGACCAACGAGGTGTACGAGGAAACGGACTCTGTGGACTGTGACCATGAGACCTACAAAGGTTCACTCTTATTGTTTTACAAAAGTTATGTTCATTCTAGAAAACCTGTTTAATCCTAAACTAGAGAACAACATTTGAGGCTTAGTTTGCCTCAAACATCCCTGTATGTTTTCTAATCATGGTCATGATCTGATCCCCAAGGGGTAGGGAGTGTCTTGATGTCCTTTTGGAGGAGCATGAGGAAGTGTGAGGAGTGCAATAACTGGGAATCTCTGCCGGCTCATTATGAATTGGTTAGGCAAAGATAGCGTATAAAATTAACAAATCTCGGCCCACGTTATTAGTCAAAATGCCAGAATTATACTGGATGTGACCCACAGCCAGTCTCGTGGCAGTGTGGCCCTATGGAGAGCTGCATGTTTCATGAGCAGGTTTATAAAGAGCAAAGTGAGATAAAAAATTCAGCGCTCTGTTTTTACCGTAGCATCTCACTCTAATGGCCTTTGTGCGTGTGCTCGGCTCTGCCATGTCCAGTCGCCTCGCCCCTCTACAGCTCTATACTCAGAGACAACGTGAGATGAACGAGCGGTGAGCTCTGAGGCAGTGCAGCCTTCAGCCTCTGTCAAAACTGATTCACACAACGTTTGAACTGCTCACTGCTCAGTACACAACCTGAGAGGGAGGCTCAGAGCGAGTCGTCATGATTATTGAATTGTATAAAGCATACTGTGTGGGAAACTGGATGAATAAATAACTTGTATGTTTAATATTTGTATGGAAATTTTCTTTATTTTATCAGGACACTGAATGTTATGCAACCAAGTTACACAATGTATTTTGTCGAAAATGGTTTTTAGCATAGTTAGTGGCAGTTATTTTAGATTAACAGTGGATTTTTGCTTTCTACAACTTTTCTTTGATCAAAAATGTTTTGTCTTTGTCTGAAGGAAATAGCAGCCACACAGACGGCACCGCAGATCCTTCTTTGGCTTCTGGACCGTTGGAGGCGGGGGCTAACTCAAACCCAAATCTGCTTTGGAGAGTGCTAATGGATGGGCGTTTATTGGTGAACATGTCGACCAATCATCTGCTGTCAGAAGGAGAGTTTTTCACAGACCTGGAGCCAATGAGCAGCGTGGAACAAAATGAAACACTGGAGTTCAGCTTTAGCCGAAAGAATGAGAGCTCAGAGGGAGTCCACAACAAGACTTTTGCCCGTGGCAATGGGCGCCATAACCGCACCAGGTACAGAGAATCAGCAACACAACTGGTCATGATCATTGACGGTTGAACAAGGTGGCAGAGTGGTTAGCTTCTTCATCAAGAAGCTGGATTCCAGACTGACCTTGAGGAGTCTAAAATATTACAGTTATTTTATAATAAGAAAGCAGGTGCTTCTTCATGACTCTTTGGAACCTATTAAACGGTTGCACATTTTGATCATTCTTCAGATGTTTTTTTCAGAAGTCAGCGCTCTCTGTAAAACATTATTCACTCCCTGAGGTCTCTTTATCCTGTCTCCCCTCTCTGCTCTGTGTGTCCTGACACTGGCTGTGGTCGTAACACAGTCATCAGCTGCTCCTCTGCTGTCCTCGTCAGCATGGCATGAAAACACATAAATGATAGACATGAATGTATGACTTTTATGGCTTGTCTGTCTGGAGCATCGGCTTCTGAAGTGTGTTCTGTTTATCAATCGTCTCCACTCGTTAAAGTCGTCTGACTCGTTTTCCTCTGTCTACTGTGTTTCCGAGCTTAATTTTAATGGACAAAACCTTTTCTGTGAGTGTCATGTAAAACACACTATGCTGGTTTTAGATATTATTCTTTTAGTTCTTTTTATTTAGCTGGAATTATGATTTGGTTTAAGGCAATTAAAATATAATCTCTTTAAGTGATTTTCTGTCAGTTTGAGAACACTGACCCCATTAGTTGAGTTTTAAAGCTGAGGTACCTAACATTCAAACCACAAAAAAATTATTTCAATAATAGTGTAATTCAATCATTCTTGTTAGTTTCTTGCTTATAAGTTGTTTGGTTCTATCTCTAGCTGCTATTCTTTCATACAGAAAGGTGAACCACCCTCACTCAGGCAATCAATTATTATTATTATTATAATAATAATATAAATGAAAACATTTTAGGTACCCCAGGTTTAAGTGGAAGTAGTGGTAAAAAAAGAGGAGGAACTGTAGATAATGTATTTTAATCTCCACCTGTCATGAATGTGAGAGTGAGTTTTCTGTATCAGAGGAAACCAGAGGCTGAATCAGAAGAACCTGAAGCTGAGTGCAGCCGACATGTACCGCTGGAAACTGTCCTCTCAGGAGCCCTGCAGCATCACCTGCTCCATTGGTAACAACCTCAAACACAAAAAGGACCTATCAGGATTGACTTACAGCACACCACTGAAAAAATTATAATAATGCATTAGTTTTTTATAGCGCTTTTCTGGACGCTCAAGGACGCTTCACATGCCATTATTCATTCACTCCATACACGGTGGTGATAAACTACTACCGTAGCCATAGCTGCCCTGTGGCACACTAACATAAGCGAGACAACCAGTATGTGCCAAAACTACAAACCACACAAGCCAATAATTGTGGCCTGGGTACTGCTGATTGTAGAGAAATGGTGTTTTGAATGCAAGAGTAAAGATTGCTCAACCATGCATCTTTTCTGTGGAAATATGATTAAGGAGTTTGAAAGGTCCTAAAATGACATTTGTTCCAATAGGGTCCATTTTAAACTAGTTGCCAAAACCTCATGCGATGCATGTGTCTGTGCCAGGAGTGTCCCGGTCCTTTGTCTCCTGTGTGCGTTACGACGGCGTGGAGGTCCATGACATGTACTGCGACGCTGTGACCAAGCCAGAGCCAGTGCACGACTTCTGCATTGGGAGAGAGTGTCAGCCACGGTAAGGAGAGCTTCACAATAGTAGCAAACGTATTGAGCCAACTGCAGGAATCCCAAAAATAATCATCTCAATCAAGTTTCCAGTGTAGAAAAATGTTAACTCTAATCCAAGTATTTTTTCATTAACACAATAATGACCACCCTAACCTGGCAGTAACGTGTATTTCAGACAGAGTATGTTAGGTAGATAGATAGATAGATAATTTGTTGATCCCCGTAGGAGAAAAAAGGGTGTCCAGCAGAAGACTCATCCAGGTTTGTTGTACAGCCTGACAGCCGAAGTAACAAAAGATTTCTTGAAACGTTCTGTTCGGCAGTGCAGTGATATAAGCCTGTTGCTTTGATTACTCCTCTGAGCAGCCATTGTGTCATGCAGAGGGTGTCTGGAGTTACCCAGGATGCCCTGCATTAGAGCCCTCATCCCTCTCTCCATCATAGAGACACATTTCCTGATCAGCCTGTTGAGCCGGTTACTGTTTCTCGAGGTCAGACTGCCGCCCCAACATGCGACCCCCAAAGAACACAGCTACAACAGACTGGTAAAATATGTTAGAGCGACCTCCTCCCTCTAGGTTAGGACCAAAGCTCACCACAGATCACATTTGAGTTTTCAGTTTCCTTCACCAACAATTCTGCATTTGAGTCAAAACTGAGCACTACACTGAACATGGTCAATTACTGGGATGACAGTGGCTCAGTTGCTCGAGCATTGCGCCATCGGCCCCTCCGACCACCACCACCAACCATTCATACACACACCAGACTTATTCTAGACAATGGGGGTGAAGTGTCTTGCATAAGGACACAACGGCAGTTTGGCACTTTACAGCCGCAGCCGCCCCACTGTGGCTGGTGTTCCCAGAGGATAAGTGTCTTGCCAAGGACACAACGACAGTAGTCAGTGGGAGTCGATGGTGAAAGTCTTGAGCGGGGCTTGAACCCACAACTTTCTGGCTCAAAGGCCAACGCTCTACCAACTGAGCTACTGCCGCCCTTATGTTTAAATGAAACACTTCTTATGCTGTTGTGTGTGTGAACTGGGTCGTCGAGGTCTCCGCCTTCGACCGCCGCCCAGTCCTCTCAGCACCTGACCGCCACGGATCCCTCTGTGGGTGGTGGGTCTACAGGAGGGCCAGCCCACGTCATCCCTTCGGGCTGAGCCTGGCCGGGCCCCGTGGGCTAAGGCCCGGCCACCAGGCGCTTGTTTTCTTATGCTCATTTTTACATCATTTAAAAACCTCAAGTATGTTTTTCCTCCTACAGAAATCACAATTAAAGAAATAAAATATACCCCTCCCTACCATTCTCAGACATTTTTGAAGAGGCTCCAAGAGCCACTCGAGGGGCACTAAAGAGCCACATGCCGACCAAATGATAAACTGCACAAAAACAGATGAAGCATAAACAATGCTTTAGTACAGATTTGTGAAATCAATAGTCATTTGTTGTGTGTTGATATAAGTTCTGTGCTCTCATTTGTTGTTTTGTGTGCAGGTGGGAGGCGAGCAGCTGGAGTGAGTGCTCGCGCACTTGTGGGGAGGGTTTTCAGTTCAGACAGGTGCGCTGCTGGAAGATGCTGTCTCCGGGTCTGGACAGCTCTGTTTACAGTGATCTGTGCATGGAAGCTGAGTTAGAGCGCCCCCTGGAGAGAAGAGCCTGTAAGAGCCCTGGCTGTGGGCCGCAGTGGGAGGTGGCTGAATGGAGCGAGGTATTAAGTAATTGTGAATGATCACTTTGGGTGATCATTTTAATGCAATTATTAAAACTAAACTGGGACTATAATAGAAAACATGTTCCCCCTTTTTCATAATGATTTGATATTTCAACCAAAGACTCATCACATTCCACATTTGCCATCGTTTCATCTAACTCTGGATCATTGTTCCTTTTTAACTTTGTAACTGTATATTATATCACAAACAATATTTATACACAGGCTGGTTTGACCAAGATGGTACTGGTTCTTCCACATTTTGAATATGAAAGTCTCTTTCTGGTTCCAGTGTCCAGCGAAGTGCGGACGTAGAGGTCAAGTGACTAGAGATGTCCGCTGCTCCGATGAGAGCAGGTTATGTGACCTCTCTAGCCGACCTCCCAGTGTGAAAAACTGCACCGGCCCGCCCTGTGAGCGAATGTGGACCATGTCCGAGTGGGGCCCGGTCAGTACACACAAATCGCACTGAACAGACCTGGTACCTGATATACAGACTCTACAGCATATGTTTGTATGTACGTACATATAAGTACATGCATTTTCTGCTTTCCACGTACATGGAAAGCATGTCATTGGTCTCATTGATCTTATTCATACACATGCATTTACTGTATTTTAGACCACATTGGAATAAAAAATATGGTAAAATAAAATGTAAACAAAAGTATAAGGTGACTCTTATCTCTGCCAGTGCTCAGGTGGCTGTGGCGAGGGAAGAACCATGCGCCATGTTTACTGTAAGGCTCCTGAGGGTCGAGTCGTCCCTGAAAACCAGTGTCCAGCGGAGACCAAGCCTCTGTCCATTCACCCCTGTGGAGAGAGGGACTGCGCTCCCCATTGGTTGGCACAAGATTGGGAACGGGTACAAGGCTTTTTCTGTTCCAATGTAATGTACGTACGTAGTATGTAGAGCAGTCTTTTGAGATACTATTAGACTACAGACAGAATGGACAACACCTTTAACTTTTGACTCCAGCCAAATTTAATAAGTTTCAAACGTAGATAATAAATAGCAGCCAATGGAATTGCAGCCAAGTTCCATACTTGGTAATCAAGTAAAGAGCCAAACGTGCGGTTGTTGTAGTCGTTGCATCAGTCAACTTAAAGGTCCCATAATTCGCTCTTAATTTTTCACAGTCCATCCTAAGCACATGTGTGACAATTATTTGGGATATACACCATACACCATACAACGCTCAAAACACGTGAAATTATAGCCATTTCTTGCCTAGAGGTGATGTCACCTCAATTGAAAGGAGTAAGTTTGAGGATAACATATCAGTGTTCAGCTTTTGCTGGTACATAGTAATTTTAGACCGGATAATACACTACTAATACACAAAAAAGTCCGGGCACATTTGCCTCATTCTTTGTCTTTCATTTCATTTAAATACATTTTATTACGTCCCCAATGGGGTAATTAGTTTAGCGGTACAAAGGGATACATTTAAAACAGAACAGGAAAAACATTGTACAATCAAAAAAGTCCAACAAGGTGCCAAGGTGCAAACTTCACAGTCAAACAGAGTTATTGCCAGTTAACCCTTTGATGCACAACATGGGTCAAAAGTGACCCGACTGAGTTTTTATGTTTACATGGAATACTAAAAGTATTTAATCTTTTAGTATTCCATGTATTCCTCAATTAGCTTGTTTTTTATCTTTAAACATCCTCATTTTATTATTTTTTTTCTTACTTTTTGAATTAAAATGATTTTTTTATCACTACCCCTCTAATGCACAACATGGGTCAAAAATGACCCACATCCATTTTCTATGTAATTTCATGTATGGCTGAGTGTTGCTTTGCTACACCTTTCATTTACTACTCCATGTATACAGTAAATAACATGTTTTTATTCATCACAAATAATATGTTTTATGTTTCCTTTCTTACTCTATGAACAAGCTCAACATTTGTATAACCTACATGAACTTCACACACATGCATTCACTGTGGCATTCAGTAAGAAGCTTTGAATTTGAGCACGTTTGCTAAGGAATATTTTGACAGCGGACAAGTCAATTGCAGAAGACAGTTCATCTATGGTGACTGTCACCATAGATGAACTGCTGGTGCCATTCCAGGGCAGGTGCAAGTTGAAGCAGTACGTATATGCCCAGCAAGCCTGTGAAGTACGGGATAAAAATCTTCTGGATGTGCGATGCAAGACTCCATTATGCAATAGATGGAATTGTCTACACAGGAAGACAGCCAGGAGAGGAGGGGCAGAAGAACCTTAGGAAGAACATTGTTCTAAAATTGTGAAGCGGAATCAGACAGACAGGTGATTATAGAAAATGGAAATTAAAGCTTTACATAATGTAAATGTTATAGCACACTGCTTTCCACACCCTCTCGGTCGCAACATCACAATGGACAACTTCTTCACCAGTGTCCCTCTGGCTGAGAAGCTCCTCGAGAAGAACCTGACTATTGTGGGCCTTCGCCAGAACAAGCCAGACATACCACCTATCATAAAGCCATCCAAGTCAAGGGTGATTCATAGCTAAGAATTCAGATTCAATGGCAACATGACCATGGTGAGCTATGTGCAGAAGAAGGCAAAGGCTGTTATCCTCCTGAGCACAATGCATGATAACAGAGCAATGGATGAAGACAGCCAGAAGAAGAAATCAGAGGTGATACAGTACTACAACAGATGGAGAACAACCACTCTCAATGCTTACATCAACTTCACTGCAGGACACACTAGTTACATGGGTGAGGTCACCAATGCATGCCGGCTATTCATCTAGGAGCTGGGCAAAGAGCTTGTCGCATGGAAGACAAACCCACACTCCAAAAGCATATCATAGAGGCAATGGGAAGATGTGGGATCAAAAAACAAAACACAGCCACCACCTAGCCACAAGAGGACATAAGACAGGAGTGCCCAGCGAAAGAGGAAGAGGTGTGCAATCTGCCCATCTGCCAAAGACAGAGAAAAGCCAGCAGCTGGTGTTCCCAGTGCAAGAGGCCTGTGTGCTATGAGCACAATTGTGTAGTGGTCACTTTTTCTATATTTGAGGAATCTTGAGAACTGAATTGACAAGTTGTACTCTACCGGTGTGATCAGTTATATGTTATTTTATTTTGGTCAATGCACCAGTTTTTTTTTTTTTTTTTTCGCCGGATGTATTTGTATGTGTTCCAAAATGGGAAAAAAAACACGTTTCATGATTATTTGGCCCAAATTCCATCTAAAATAGATATTTGAAGCAAATATGTATTATTACATGCCTTCATTTTTGTTTTAAATCGCAATTGAATGAATGGGTCATATTTGACCCATGTATGTGCATGGGTTATGAAAACTTCCTCACATCACTGTATCTTTTTCTCTCAGTGTAACACCACGTGTGGCCGTGGGGTTAAACACAGGGTGGTTCTCTGCGTTGGCATCAATGCAGGGAAGATCCAGGTCCACAATGATGAGGCCTGTGACCACAACCTCAAACCGGAGGAGGAAGGAACCTGCTTTGAACGACCCTGCTTCAAATGGTATTCCACCCCCTGGTCTGAGGTCAGTCTGTATGTGATTTCAAAAGTTAAACTATCCCTCCTGTGGCTGCACCGGCTAGTCAAAACATGATTCTGGAAGTTAAGCAAGAAGGGAGGCCGCTAACAATACCATGTGCCACAGCAGGACAATTGTGGCTCTTGTGCAAAAATGTGTGTCCTTAGAGTTACTTTAGAGATACTTTAACTCCATGAAACATGATTGTGTGTCAGTGTTGGTGATGTTGATGTGAGGAGCCGGCACAGATGCCATGCTCACTGGCTACTATAGATGCTTCCCACCACTGTGTGGTGGATTTGTGGAGAGAATGAATCATCCCTGATATTGCAATGCGACTTTGTGGCTTTATGTTGTTTTGTTTCTGTTTAAGTGTGATATTTACTGTGTGTGTTGCAGTGCACTAAAACGTGTGGCGTTGGCGTGCGGATGAGGGATGTGAAGTGCTACCAGGGCAGAGAGCTGGTTCGGGGCTGTGACCCTCTGACTAAACCAGTGTCAAAACAGACATGCACGCTGCAAGCCTGCCCCACAGAGCCTCCAGGTAAGCCATCCATGTTATGTTAAGCTATAGGTAATTAGTATTAGTACTTGATGCTACTCTGTGTCTTTCAGATGAGAGCTGCCAAGATCGGCCCTCTACAAACTGTCTCCTGGCTCTAAAGGTGAACCTGTGCAGTCACTGGTACTACAGTAGGGCCTGCTGCCACTCATGCCGTGTGCTTCGACCTCCAGCCTCTTAATCCTGGATCCAGGTCTATACCAGGAGTCACACAAGTACAGATAAGAACTATTCCCCTCATCAGCCAATTTTACGTCTATGGAGACTGTGAAACTATAGTAGTATATGCCCATCTTAGGATACCTTTTGTCTCTTACATGTTTCTCAACACAAATAGTTGATTAGGCAAAAGGTTTCAAGTAAGTGTCAGTCACTTAATTCAGTTGTGTTCCACAACTCCACTAACCCTCAAGGTTCTTCTGCTGAGGGGCAAAAGACTATCTTCATATTGTGTTATAAATGTACATGCTAGGTTTGATTTTGAGATCAACTTGATAATGCCCATTTAATAGTTAACTAATTTATTGTTTATTTTGCAAAAACAAAGAGTTAAATTATTCTCCAATGAGTTACCGGCATTTGTAGAGGATATAATTCTGGTGTGTATTTTATTTAATGTCTGAGCCTGGAGGTGGAAGGAGCAGGCCATATTTATTAGATATAGCTGATTTGTGACGTCGATTGGATCCTGACACTTGAAATCGGTTCAGACGTTTTGGACCTGTGCAGGTTTTCTGTGCTGTGAGTTTTTGATACCTCGTTGTACAAACCAAGGCCCCTGGAGCAGCCTGGATTTTTAATAAAACTTTGACCTTGACATGGACCAGTCTAGTTCCCATTCTTCACTGACGATCATTTTCCTTTTTTAGATTAATGCTTGCAATTGTTTTTACTGTTTAGACACCTTTGAATTAATTCTTATTTATAGAAACATCTTTCTTGTCCTTTTTTCGTTTTTTTACTGAACCATTTTGAGTAGCCCAACAATATTTCACTCACAAAACAAAAGCGGGCATAGCAACCCTTGTGGCACTCCACATTGATACCTTAAGTTTACTACATTGCGCTTACTTAAAATATCCACAACCACATTTTAACAATTAATTGAATTGGTTTGAAAATGTTTATTGATTTTTTATTTCACATAGATTTCTCAGAAGAAAGGTTACAGCAAATGCATTTGGTACTAACGTGGTAATTATTATTCATATTTTTTAGACTGCTCTACAAAAGCCCTTTTATAATAATGCAACATAAAACACAAGTGTTAACAGCAACACGATATAAAATAAAGTCAGGCATAGACTTCAACCTGTCTCATTCCAATCATTAAAATCAAAGTGCTCAGTTTTTACATTGATGTGGCACGGATAATGAAACCTCAAAGCATTTAAAAGCCTCAAATATGTGTGATTATTCATATTTCCAAATCTAAACATAAACAAAGATAAGTATAAACATTTCTGTAGTATTGTAGTACAAAATCTTTGAGAGACATTTTCTTCTCCACTTGGCAAGCCAACAGTTCACAGACATTTTTTAAAAATACATTTTTAAAGACATGGTTTAATTTTTCTCTCAGTGTCAGAAATTAAACTTCTGACTTTGTAAAAGGAAATATAAACTATTATGAAGGATCACCTCTCAATGTTGTGGCATTGAGCCAATCAAAATAATTTTGGTAACAATATCAATGAAAATGAAGGAGAAAAATACATGTATTTTAATTTTGCGGTTTATATTGTAAATCTACAGTGTATTTTGGACTGAAACTGTGAAGACATTTTCACATCCCAGCCATCGATCTAAACCCTTCTTCAGCTCAGGGTTACACCAGAGCCACAAGATTTTTAATAAAAAATGCTTTGTTTGTTCTTTGTTTGAACAACAAGCTCTGATCTGAGCTTCTGCAGGAACAAAGAAGTCTGTCTGTCTTCCAATCTGATGGTTTTAATGAAGTATCTTCACTCTTTTGGTGCATTAGTGAAAATTCACCAGCTTGTATAATGTGATAATATTATAGGGGAAACAAAAGTAAAAGTGCAACTAAAGCTCAGTTTACGTGGAGCTTACAATGGTGAATGAAAGAACAGTGCACAACCCTTTTTTGTTTTGCCGTATTACATAAATACCAATACAATCTTTTTACACTATAACAGTCTTTTGTCTGAAACCATTTGTTCAGTTCTGAAGTCCATAGAATATTAACTCTCATAAGTAGTCCAGTTATTCCTCTGTAGAAGAGGCTTGCGAGCCTTTACTTACACTTTAGAGTAATGGGGATTTTCCTGATTTTTACAACCATAAACCGTATTTCTCACTGTTCTTGCACATTCTGGCATTACTCATGTGTGTGATGCGTTTGTACGCACTTTCCAGAGACCAGAGTCTCTCTCACAGAAAAGCTAACAAGTTAAAAGGCCAATTAACATATTCGGAATTGAGTTTCTTTTGCAATCGTCGGTACTCGGGACAAAAAAACAAGGTTTTCCTTGGAAATAAAACAAATCGTGCACAGCCTCTTTAAAGTTTAAATCAATGCTTTTTCTCAAACAGCTGTTGCTGCTGTCTTTCTCATGGTCAGCAGCTGTAGTTTCTGTTTTTTTGCTGTGGTTTTTCTTGTTTGCCGTAGTTTAGTAATGTTGTTAAACATCAGTGCTGACGCTGTGGTGACTCATCTCTCTCATGGTCAGCAGCTGTAGTTTTCGGTACAGAGTGCTGATGTCCAGCGGTAACTCCACATGGTGCTGTTGGAAGGAGCGGTAGCACAGGTTGCGTCCGTCCCAGGCGCAGGTGGGGCGCTGGAGGCAGTAGGGCACGGGCCGCGTGCACGTAGGGCAGTAGTGTGCGTGGTGGCACTCGTGCGGCGGCGGTGGCGGCGGAGGGGGCGGAGTGCAGCAGCCGTTCGCCTCTGTCAAGAATGTGGGCGGGTATGAGTCGGGGATATTGCGGTAGTCGTCGTTTCCACAGTGACACTCTGGGCCATTGCTATGGCAGTCTGGTGTGTTACTATGGGGAAAGTCGTGATCAGTGCTGCGGCGATCATGCTCTGGGAGACGCCGATACTCTGGACCGTTACTGCGGCGCTCGTGTTCACTGCGGCGGTCCGGTTCGCTGCGGCGGTCCGGTTCGCTGCGGCGGTCCGGTTCGCTGCGGCGGTCCGGTTCGCTGCGACGGTCCGGTTCGCTGCGACGGTCGTGCTCGCTGCGCAAGTCCGGTGTGGGAGGAGTGGGCGGAGCTGACAGAGCCAGGGGGCGGGTCATGGTACTAAACTCTGCATCACCATCATTGTCGGCCTTCTCTGACTCCTCCTTCTTACAGCAGTAGTACTGGTACATGCAATTCACAGTAAGCACATTTAATAACCATTATTGCTAAGCATACAACATTCAGAAAAGGTTAAAAGTTAAAAGCTTACATGGTAAACAGCTAGATAATTACAGAAAATATAGGTTATTTGTTATGCTAGGGCCTAGCATTAACATGAGATTTGATAGCCTAGCGGCTAGGTTAATCAAAACTCAAAAAACAACATGAACATGTTTTAAGAAAACACCAACATGTTTAGCAGCATAACTGTTTCTATGTTTTAGTGCTCGCTTTGAGTCTTACAGCTACCGATTTGAGTAATCTGTCAAATTTCATATATGCTCATTACATATGCAATTTAGGAAAAAAGTGTGATTTCTTGTAAAAAAAAAATTATTAGTACTCAGTAATATTCAATGCTATAAAAATGAAATGAAAAAGAAAATTAACTCAACAAATTGTTTTTGCTCTACACACTTTAATATTGGTGTGCTTTAGGATGTGTGTCACTTCAGGGCCACCGTACCTGCAGCCTACATAGGCACAGGACTCCCACGATGGTGAGCAGAATGACCGCAGCCAGCACCGCACCAGCGATGACCACTGTCCCGGCGGACATAGGAGACACTCAGCCCCATTCACCACCTGCACATACATCCATCTGAGAGAGAGGAACTGAGGCATGTGTCAGCTTGGTTTCAGAACGTAGGAACTTTGTCTTATGAGGAAGAAGAACAAATGTTAGATTCGTTTTTTTGTCTTACTATCGTCATTATGATTATTGTTGAACTTGAAGAGTGATATTGTTCTAAACAGTCGCCATTATTTGCTCAAGAAGAAGAAGAAAAAAAAAGGTTCCCATACTTTTTGTCGTTGTTCCTGTAGTTTTATTTTTTGCCGTTACTGTTGTTATCGTCTGTTCTTTTCTTGTTGCTGTACTATGTAAAATGTTTAAATATGTAGTGTGTTTTGGGGGTGGGCACCAATAAGCTCTTGCTTCGGCCCACTCCTTTTGAGCAGAACTTGTCTGCTCAAATAAATAAAAAATACAAATTGCTCAGTACCTTGTGACCCACACTGGGGTCTGTTCACTCAGGTCCGTGTCGAACAAGAGGCGTCTATGATGGACTTGGTCTGGTCTTTTTGATTTTGATTAAGGGCTTCAGCCAACTAGGTCAGGGTCGTCTTTGTCTGAGTTCTAATTTAAATTAAATAGAACTGCATTGATTGTATTGTAGTTGCGAAAGGATATCAGAACTAAAGCTATTTTTGAAAGACATCATAAAGACATGTTGTGCTTTGGTCTGTAATATATTTAGAATCTATAACAATCTCTGTTTAACAACTCTGAGCGGGTAAATGAGAAGGGAAAACAATCGGGTTCCGTGGAGATGTTCGTCTCCTTTGTGATGCTGCAGTAATGCACTTAGGTTGGAGTAAGGAGCAATGATAATCCATTAAACATGAGGCAGAGGAATCATATCCTAAAAATACAACTGACTGCTCAATAATTATAAATATTCATAAATTAAAACTTTAGATTTAAAGTTGACCAACCCCTAAAAGTTTGGCAATCCCATGAGAGCTGGCTTATAGCATGGGGCATCTGTGATGGAGAGTTTAGTAATAAACACTGACTGCTGTGAACAAGAGCCGGCTGTCACCAATACAGCGCCTCTGCTGCAGCTTTGTACATAAATGATACATGTCACATTTTATTGCTCTTTTTTAGCCTCTTGCGACGCAAAGCACTCTACACACATTCATTCATACATTAGTACATATAGTAGGATGCAACGTCAGAGTCATGTGAGACCTGAGAATGAGCACATGAACTTTCTTCATCCACTCAAATTTGTCATTTCGGAGTTGGAAAACCTGTCACCCACATTTAAGATTTTTTTGTGAGCAGAGATCTTCTGACATAATGCTTATTAATGTTGAACTCCCTGCATCATCTTTTTAAAATAAATCAACAATTGCTCTATAAAGAAGAAAAAATTGGCACATCTGATTGGCTGTTACTTACAAATGTCATATTTAACAATCAGCTATCCTCCTCATCAGGCTTCACTTCTTTAATACTTCATTTCTTGTATTGAAGAAGTGAAGCCTGTCACTTTGTTTTTGGTTCTGGTTTTCTTATTCTTTGCTGTTTCATCCTTAGTTCATCAAAAACACAGTTTCATATAATTTGCGTTTATTTTTCTCACCTGTTAAAATACTGTTGGGTCATTGGTCCCTCCTGCTCACTCACAGAAGCTGTCTAACGAATGTTCACCCATCAAAAACACATTCCCTCCAAAATATTCAAAAATGTGTTCAATCATCTGCTTCAGACAAAGAACAAATCCTTAATGGAAGAAAGATGAAAGTTAAATGTCCGTTCTGATGCCAGTATTAGTCCATCAGTGAGAGAAGGATGGTCCTGATGCTGAGGAGGAGTGAGGGCTCCTCTCCACTCTCCGTCTGAGCATGTGCACGTGTCACTGAAGCTCTGCCCCCTTCACCCGCAAAAAGCTCCAGATTTAGTCCAGCCCACAATATTCAACTAATTTATTCATTTAGTTAAGCATAGGTTCAAGGGAAAATTCTCCCATCCCTTCTTATGGGAGAATGTTCTTTTTTTACCTTCTTGTATTTTTCTTTGAAATGTGTAATTTACCAACACTTTTGAGTTGCTTCTTCTTGTAATGTTCAGACAATATTCTCTTAAGATGAGCCTTCTTCAGTAAAGCCAGACAAATGCAGGACCAATTGTGCATGTTTTTAGTAATAGAGAAAACCGGAACACCCAGAAGAAATGTGCCAAAACAAACTTTTTTGATTGGTTGTCTATGTGTTTTGATTTGAAACAGCAACAGCTTTGAAAAACCATGTTTTTGTTGTTGTATTTCCATCTTTAAATTTTCACTCCAGTACAGTGCTCAGAGTTATACACTGATCCAGACCAGAGCAAAGACGGCGTAAATCCACCAGAGGAAGGCTTTAAAAATGAAAATGCATCTTGCTAATGCAGCATTCAGAGTTCACCCCATGGTTCTGAGAGAGATCCACCTCTCCTAGGACCCCCGTGTCCCATGATGCAGCTGGCCCAAAGCATTCACTAAGAGTAGAGAGCACCTCATCACAAGCTGCTGTCAGCTGAGGAAAGCCTTTTAAGACGGTTATATGTTTAGATTACATTTTACTGCTTATGATTTTATGTAAATGACTTGTTTATTTTGTCTGTATCCGCTACTGATGGTCCCCAGATCTTACCGTGGTGATGAATAAAGTAGCTGTCTATCTATATTAGAAAGACATGACAAAGACTAAATCTAGTAAGTACGTCTGATGTATTTGTACCCAAACTACAATGTCCTTTTTGTTTCTTTTCTTTTTTTAAATACAAAATTTTTGGTCATTTCACCTATAACACAACTGGTGAATAAATAAAATAGTTATGGGGAGACAATTAATATTCATGCCTCACAAATTGATATTATTTTACTTATTCTGTTGTATGCTACAAACATTTTAAACTTCTCATTTCATTAGTGCAAGGAGAATAGCTATGTGCAACACTGAGATTTCTCCGCCTTGGGCCTCCGTAGTGCTGGTTGGCCCGGTGCTTTGTGGATGTTGGCGGAGCAGGTTTTATCGTTTCAATTATTAAAGGCGGCGGTTGTGGTGATTCTTGTTGGGAGAGAGTGGAGCGTGAACAAGAGACATTAATGCAGCCCTCAGAGAAAAAGGCAAGATCTCTCCAACTCAAAGACACACTGAGATTTGCTGCGGCAGAGAGTCTTTACGAGGTTGTGGGTTTGACTCCGGAGCTCTCGGAGTGGGGGTTTTGTGCAGAACGGTCTCTTGTCTCCAGCAGCAGGTGGTGTGTCACAGGTGAATGTCTTGGAGGTCACAAATGAACTGAATCTTAATTGGTGAAAATGCAAGGACAAGGAAAGTGCTTGACACAGTCTCACAATGTTCATGTATCTAGACTTGAGAAACAGTTGTAATGATGCTATTTGTGATTTAATCTTTGGATCTAAACTTACTGCACATAGTATTGTTGAGAGTTGTGTAAATGATTTTCTATGTCTCCAAACATATTTCAATTAATCAATAAATAAAATCAATAGAAAGTCTCCCATTGAGCTACACTCCCGCACAGACAGAGGAAGTGAGTTCCAGGCTCCTGCTGCTTTGATGGAGAAGCAGTTCTGTCCAAATGAGAACCTAAAGTTCACATCTGTTCATGGTCCTTTTCTGATCAAAGGCTCTTCTTAATGAATTGTGCAGTGCCAGAAAGAACTATTGGTTGTACTCCTATAGTGTTTGAAATTAAAACGAAACATTCATCAGGAAGTGTTTTTGCCTGAACCCCCCACTGAAAGATCAAGGCTCCTGTGGACTCACCACATGCAGGAGGATCAGGGGCTGGTGCTCTGTGAATTGGGTTCAGCTCTGACTGCCACCCCCTTGACCCAGAAATGGATTAAGGGGAAGAAAATGGATGGATGCATTTGTTAGGATTTGCAAACCGTATCTGAAGACTGTCGGTCGGTCTGACAGTCAGCGCTCCATGCATTACAGATACATTAATGAACAAGGCCATGATGGTAACTTAGTTTATTTGAACACATAAACTATTGTTTCACTCAGTGTTACCTAAACCGCTGAACATTCTCACGGTTTATAGCTGTAGTTGACATTACAATCAATAACTTTGTGTAGATTTTTATTTATGCATGCCTTTTTGATTTTATTCTGCTTTAACTTGTTTGCACTGAGAGCCAAAGCAATTTCCTAGTTTGTGACTCTGGATTCTGATTCTAAAAGCATGAACTAAATGTGATTCCCTCAGAGCAGAGTATGCGTCAAATCTCCTGAAAGACCGATATTGCAAAAGTTTCATGAATTAGGCCCATTTTTAAACCAATTTTGGCCTCACAAAATGATCATTTACAGTAATAATACTAGTATGTGCCCTCTCGTTCTGCCTTCCTCTGCAGTCGGGATGGCGTCTCCGCAGCATCCTCTCACATGTTGAATAATGAAAGGCCGCTGTTTGGTTGATGGTGGAGGGCAGTTTTTAGACATTTTATCTGGAGTGACCCGAGAGCGCTGGAGTGTGAGGAACACACCATTATCTGGGCTTTTAGTGAGAACACTGACCCCACTGCAGGAGCGAGGCACTGGTGAGGTTAAGAGCTGCACGGTGTGGAGTACAGTCCAAGTGACTTTCATAGTACCATACGAATGTTCATCGTGTCCTTTCGGTAGATTTAAGCTATTTGTTTATCAGAAAATATTGGAAAAAATTAAAATAATGTTTCAAGAATATGTGAGCTTTGTTTAGTAATTCCCCAGATCTACTTTAGCCTTTTGGCCTGACAGCATATTCAGAGGACACAATATTTTAGTGGTGCGGTGGTTAGCGCATTTCCAGACCTTTCGGTGTGGAGTTTGCATGTTCTCCCTGTGTCTGCATAGTTTTTCTCCAGGTTCTCTGGTTTCCTCCAGGTGCTCCGGTTTCCCCTACCACTAAAAATATATACAATAGGTCTGGATGCGCCTTCTGTTTGGTGACCTCGCTCCCATCTCGTGTGGAGTGAGAGACAAATGCCCACAACA